ATGGCTTTGAAAAGCAAAGCATACACATGTTGATCATCTGCTTGAGAAAGAAATTTGTAGCTTAAAGTTTGTCCAATTTAAGATAGCTCCCAGGCTGGGATAGGGAGCTTGCTTAAGCACATGTAAGGTCTCAGATTCAATCCCTAGTGCTACTCCCAAATCCCCAGAATTATCATGATACATGGTAGTTCACCATACACTTTGGGAGGCTGAGAGAGGTGGATTGCCGTAGATTCAAGACCAAATTTTGTCTCATAAAACAATAAGAAGAAGAAAAATACATACAATTATATTTTGGTTCTGTATAAGGTATATTATTAAATATATTCCTATTTGGACTTGGGTAATTCCAGTCCCAAAAGGTTTTGATGCTTTCTTCTGCCCACCATGGGCACTGCTTCCATGTAGTACACAGACATAACTCAATCAAAAGACTCATACGCATGTAAAGGCTGTAGATTATCTATAGACTTAAATAAAAAGAAAGTCTGTTTTCCTCCCAAATAGCAAGCATTTGAATTGCTTTTCTGCCTTGAGGAAAAAGATGGCTGTTCAGAACTATTTTATCATACATCTTGTTACTGTGCAGAAGGTATAATGCTTGTTTGCCCTTTTTTTCCCTGCTAAACTTTTTCTTCTAAACTATGACTCTGGACTATGGCACACATGTGACTAGCTTGCTGGGTGTGGCAATGCAGACTGTAATCCCAGTAGCATTAACCTATAATTTCAGCACCTGGGAGAGAGAGGCAGGAGGATTAAAGTGTATCCTTAGCTACATGTAGATAATGTGGGCTCTGCTACATGAAACTCTGTATCAAAGAACCTAAAACAAAGGCTAACTAGTCTCTTAACTAGTCTATGTAAAATAAACATCAAATTCCAAAGACTCAGTACTAAAAGAAGAAAATATTCTGTAATGTGATAATTTGGATATACTAGAAAAAATATGTTAAAATTATTTTATCTATTTGTTTTTATTAATAAAATTGTTGACATTTAAAATTTTCCATTTAAATTCTGTGCCTTCCATTTTATCTTTGTGATAAATTAGTGCTTAATACCAAAGTACTTGGTTTCTCCTTTTAGATGAGTTCCTCCTTTCCACGAATTAGAGATAGAATATGCTCTTTCATCTACTGGTATTTCTGTCTTTAACAGAGATGGAACAACTATTTTTAGTTCTCTGTTGCCATATTCCTTCTAGTGTTCAAGATAATTGCCTCTCCCTATTTATTCTAAACCCAACCATCTTGATTTTTTAAGTAAAGGGTGAATTGTTAATAAAAAGTTCTTTTTCCCTGATTTTTCTTTTCCAATTTTTGTTTTTGTTATTAAAATTTTGATTGTAGAAGAAAGAATTCTTGTCCTCAGTGAAATTATAAATATGCCAGTCATTTGTTGCTAGTAAATTAACTGACAAATTGTATATGTTTTGACTTCATAGCAGTGTTAACTGCCTCGTGATGGGATTGAAGCAAAATTTATCACTTTAGGAAAAAATAGTTCAAGATTGGGGAAGAAATTTGATGTTTATGATGGAGAGATAAGTTATGGTAATTTAAGCCTATATTGGTTCCAGGTAATTTAAAAGTGTATATGTAAGTTAGTGATACTTGGATAATATTCCATACTTGCTGCCTGCTATAAGTTTATTTTTATTTTACTTTTTAGATTTATTTATTTTATAAGTATTATGCTTTGTCTACATGTGTGTATACATACCATTTGTGTGCCTGGTGCGTTGGAGATCAGAAGAGGGTGTTAGATCCCCTGGAAATGGAGATAGATGTTGGAATCACCATGTGATTTCTGGGAACCAAACCCAGGTCTTTTGAAAGAGCAAATGCTCTTAACTGCTGAGCCTTTTTTCCAGCCCCTATCTGCTCCAAATTTAGGGATATTATATAACTGTTCTGTGTTTCTTCATTTGTGAACCAGAGATAGTCACAATAGGACATTGAAAAATTTGTGAGGATTAGATTGCTTATGTATAGTGTGACAGCAGCTATGTATCTCTAGCTCTACATAGATAGAAATATGATTTCTATGATTACCATGATTTTTATTAAGTATTAGTAACTACAGTTTCCACAGTCATATGGTGTGGTCTCTGTGTATGTGTGTGTGTGTGTGTGTGTGGTGTATAGGACAGAAGTCAACCTTGGATGTCCTTCCTCAGGTGCTGTCCATCTTTTATTTGAGACAGACTCATTCACTGGAAGTTAACTGAGTAGGCTAGGCTGGCTGACCATCGAGCACCAGGGATCCATCTACCTATAACCACCTCCCCAATCCTGAGATTACAAGCCTGTACGGCCATGCATGGGTTTTTATGTGGATGCTTGGGATCAAACTTAGGCCCTCGTGGCAAGCACTTTACTGACTGAACTGTCTTCCCAGTTTCACAGTTTTATTTCTAATAGTGCTATAATCGTTTCTGTATCATTGTCATATTAGAATAGTGTCTAGTTTTTTTTAAATGATTTTATTGCCTGAGTATTTAAGATTTATGCAACTAGAGCTATGGATGACTCATACTTTCAAATGAGAGGACCTGCTTAGTTTTATAATAAGGAGCCAATGAAATTCGTTTATCACAGTGAAGTTTAGCATCCTCATCACTTCTGATCCTCAAGATGCCTCCAGGCTGAGACTGCTTTCTTAATCACAATGGTAGAGATCCTCAGGGAGATCAGGGGCAAGGCCTTTGGACTTAAGGATTCTTAAAATTGTATTGCTGGCTGCCTACAAAGCTAGACCTATGCCATACCATGAGTCCTTCAGGATCACACTGATTTCTGAAAGCATCAGACCTTTCTTGGCCATTTTGTAAATATGCTCCTGACACTGTCAAATGTCACCTTCAACCAAGTGGGGATGTAGGCAGTAAAGCAGTAGAGCAGAGCCAACTAGGACAGGCCCTTTCAAGGAACGTGTATGTAAGCCATGATGGTGACTGGCAGTGAAAAGAATTGTGTCTATCATTGAACTACAATCATTGCTTCTTCATTTTCTTAGTATCTTGTGACTTTAAGTCTTTTAAATTGTGTATGTGACAGAGTTTAGAAGATAACCTCTTAGAATTGACTTTTCTTTCAACCATGTAGGTGCTGAGAACTTAACTCAGGTTGTCAGGTTTTGTTGTAGATGCCTTTACTCACTGGCCCGGTTTCTTGTTTTATTTTAATTTAATTTAATTTAATTTAATTTTGTTTTGGTTTTTTTTGGTTTGGTTTGGTTTGGTTTTTCGAGACAGGCTTTCTCTGTACAGCCCTGGCTGTCCTGGAACTCACTCTGTAGACCAGGCTGGCCTTGAACTCAGAAATCCGCCTGCCTCTGCCTCCCAAGAGCTGGGATAAAAGGCACCACCACCGCCGGGCTTTTTTTTTTTTTTTTTTTTTTTGACGGAGTCTGGCTATATAGCATAAGCTGGACTGGGAACTCAAGCATGGCACCCCTGGAGCTCCTTGGGACCTCATTCTCTGGTGTTCTTTAGGGAGCCAACAAGGCCTGGCTAACTATCTTGAATTGTTAAGATCAGAAAGCATTTAGATGAGTAACAAGACTGACTTGTTTTATTTTTCCTGAGGTTTAAATTTAAATTGTAAATGAATGTCTACCACAGAAGGAGCGAGGAACTTTTAAATGAATTCCTTTGTTTTGGGGAATGCAATTGGTGTTCAAGAGTTTGATTGACTAGTTTAATTGCCCTCTTTTAGAGAATTTTAAGTAGCTATGGCCTTTGTAATCAGCAAGGGGTTACCATGAAAGTTAGTGATAAATATTAATTACTGCATTAGTTCTTTAATATGACTTAATTTTTTATCTATAAAATGAGGCACTTTGAAACATTTTTACTTGTAAAAGATCATGTAGTTTCCTCCCTTCCTTCCTTCCTTCCTTCCTTCCTTCCTTCCTTCCTTCCTTCCTTCCTTTTTTTTGTTTTGTTTTGTTTTGTTTTGTTTTGTTTTGTTTTGTTTTGTTTTGTTTTGTTTTGTTTTTCGAGACAGGGTTTCTCTGTGTAGCCCTGGCTGTCCTGGAACTCACTCTGTAGACCAGGCTGGCCTCGAACTCAGAAATCTGCCTGCCTCTGCCTCCCAAGTGCTGGGATTAAAGGTGTGCACCACCACCGCCCAGCTTTATGGAAACATTTAAAGATAAGTTTTATAGTGATTTTGACTGCATATAAATTGAAGTGTAATCAAAACTGTATGATAAATTGAGTTATGGTAAAATTTTTGAGTGAAATATTATAGCTCTTTATAATTCTAATGCTTGCCCTTTTATTCTAAGCTATACTACTTTGTACAGTTTTAACATTTCTGGAGTATAACAAAAGGATTCAATAAGTTTTCAATAGATTTTAATCAAGTGACAGTTGTCTATTTTATTGAATGATAAAGTTTGCTCTTGAGCAGTTTAACAAATAACAAGATAATTACTATTTTGACATTTTAGTTACATAATCATAAGCCTTGCCTTGGAAATATGTGAATGGTACTTATGTAATTTCATGCCAGGAATAAAGCTAGAGTGCCACTAGGAAATGACAGCCATTTTGAAAGTGGACATGACACCTCTTTAACTTCATTTACTGTGCCAAGTATTTTGTTAACTCAAGAAATATGGTAAAGGAAATGCGTTGGTTTGGCATCTTCTGAACCCAAAAATGGATAAGGTGTTATGAGCTCTTATGTTAAGATTTCATGAAGCCTTTCATTGTTTTCTATTTAGTATGTATATTTTGTAAGTTAGCTTCAGAAAATTTACTTGCTTATGTTTTGAGACAGAATACTACTAAGTAGTAGTGACTTACCTGGAACTCACTATAATAGACCATGCTGGTCACAAACTCAAAAGAGATCTGTCTGCCTCTTCCTCTTAAGTGCTGGGACTATTATAGATGTTTATCACCACACCCAGCAGGAATGGGTTTAAACAAAATAAATATGTGTTTAGAAAATCTAACTGAGTGTTATGCTTATTTTTATGTATAGGTCCTGGTATTTTGGAAGCTACAAGAAAAAAGATTAGGTTTGGTGTTTTTTGTGGACATGGCTCAGATTTCTAACAACAGTGAATTTAAACAGTGTTCATCTTCACATCCAGAACCAATAAGAACCAAAGATGTGGACAAAGCAGAAGCATTACAGATGGAAGCAGAAGCCTTAGCAAAACTGCAGAAGGATAGACAAATGACTGACAATCCAAGAGGCTTTGAGCTGTCTAGCAGCACTAGACAAAGAACACAAGGTTTTAACAAACAGGATTATGATCTCATGGTGTTTCCTGAGTCGGATTCCCAAAAAAGAGCAGTAGATATTGATGTAGAAAAGCTCACCCAAGCTGAACTTGAGAAGATATTGCTGGACGACAATTTTGAAACTAGAAAAACCCCTGCATTGCCAGTTAATCCTGTTCTGAGCCCTTCATTTTCAGCACAGCTGTATCTTAGACCTACTGTTCAAAGAGGCCAGTGGCCCCCTGGATTCTGCGGGCCTTCCACATACACTTTACCTTCTATTTATCCTTCAGCATACAGTAAACAGGCTACATTCCAGAATGGCTTCAGTCCAAGGATGCCCACCTTTCCATCTACAGAGTCTATATATTTAAGACTTCCAGGACAGTCTCCATATTTTTCATATCCTTTGACACCTGCCACACCATTTCATCCACAAGGAAGTTTACCAGTCTATCGACCACTAGTCAGTCCTGACATGGCAAAACTATTTGACAAAATAGCAAGTACCTCAGAATTTTTAAAAAATGGGAAAGCAAGGACTGATCTGGAGATAGCAAACTCGAAAGCTTCAGTCTGCAATCTACAGGTATCTCCAAAGTCTGAAGACATCAATAAATTTGATTGGTTAGACTTGGATCCTCTGAGTAAGCCTAAGGTAGACTTTGTGGAGGTGTTAGAACATGAAGAAGAGAAGAAGAATCCAGTCTTGCTAGCAGAGGATCCTTGGGACGCTGTTCTTCTTGAAGAGAGATCTCCAACAGGTTGTCACTTAGAAAGAAAGGTGAATGGAAAATCCCTTTCTGGGGCAACTGTAACAAGAAGCCAGTCTTTAATCATTCGAACAGCTCAACTTACAAAAGCCCAGGGCCAAGTATCTCAGGTATAGTCTCTCCTTGCTAACTTCTTAAATTCAGTATTGAGACAGAGTGCATATTTGTGTGAATCATTTTTTAGGAAAAAAAAATAATGGCCTTTTAAATCTTGCTTTTCTTTGCTTTCAAGGCTGCTTTGGTTCTTTTGTTGTGTGGCAAAGGATTAAATTAAAGATTAGGCCAACTGAAAATTTGCTTCATTTTTTTGTAAGATTATAAAAACCTAGTTAGGCTGGTCTGGTAGCACTCCTCTAATCCCAGAATTTAGAATGCAGAAGCAAGTGGGTCACTGTGAGTTTGAGGCCAGCCTATTTGACATAGTGACTATGTAGCCAGGGCTACCTAGAGAGAGAAACTTTGTCTCAAAACAGAAAATACAAACAAGCAAGACCAGCCTAGATGAAGATTTGTCATCACTGAAGTGAGTTGAAGATATTCTTGGTCTCTCTATGTTATATGTGAACCTTTCTTTTTCTTTTATTTTCAAGGCAAGCAAGGAATCTATTATACAAATTCCAATACATTTTCTTTTGTTGTTAAATCATCATGAAAGACAAAAACACAACTTCAAAGAGACAAGAAAAGAGCTCTTTAACTGCTTCTGCTTAAATACATGTATTGATAAAATAAGAATGAAATTGTAGTGTAAAGGTGATCATTAGTTTATGTGAGTTTTTTTATTCTTTGAGTTTTTTTTTTAATTAGGATTTTTTTTAAAAATTTATTTTACGTGTATGGGTGTTTTGCCTGTGTATGGGTGTGTGTCTGTGCCTCACCTATGTGCAATACATATGAGGTCAAAAAAAGGCATCAGTTGTGAGCCACCATGTGGGTGCTGGGAACTGAACCTGGTCGTTACCAGCTCCTTTGAACTAACTGCCCTGAAGCTTGGAACAGCCATCCCACTAGAACCTGCCAAGGTACTGGGGTTACAGGTTTAAGACATTGTTAGTTAAGGAGTAACTGCAAATATTATGTTTTTGCTCAGAAGAGAGTCAGACACAGTTTAGAATTTTCCTTTTCAAACATTCCATTCTAAATATTTTGCTTTTATATCTGTAGATCTTGGAAATGTTTAAGGATTAAAAAAGAAAAACTTTAATCCCACCTTTAGGAAGTTCTCTCTTTTAATCCCAGCATTTAGGGAGTAGAGACAGGCAAAGTAGAGTTTGAGGCTACCCTGGTTTGTGTAGCAGTTTCCAGGTCCACTAAGGGCTACATAGTGTCTGCTTCAGAGAGAAAGGGGGGGGGAGGGGCAGTATACCTGAGTGGATCATGTGGTAATTTTGTGTATAGTTTGTTGTTTGGTTTTGGTTATAGAGTTTCTCTCACTATGTAGACACCCAGGCTAGCCTTGAATTCATGCTCTTCATTCCCTCAGCCTCTGAAGGATTTGTGTTTCAGTCAGGCACAGGTATGCCCAGCTTATATATACTATTTTCCATAACTTTTCTGACTACATTCCTACCAGTAATGTATGAAAATTCAGGTTTCTCTGCATTCTTTACAGCACTTACTATTTTCCATTTTAAGTTGATGTTGATTATTCTTTCAGGACTTTTGTTTTTCTGTGGTACTATGAATCAAACCTAGGGCCTTATAGAGAAGTTTAGCAAGCTTTCTAGCACTGAACTATACTCTAGCCCTCCATTTTATGTTTTTACTGACCACTTCTGTGTTTTGGAGAGAGAGACACATCATCATTTTGTTGGCCTGTTTGTTCATTTGTATGAGACACTACTTTCTAAACTCACTATGCATCTCATGCTGTCCTCAGTTAGCAATCCTCCTGCTTCAGCTTCCCAAGCACTGGGATTATAAATGAGTCACCATGTCAGGCTGAGAAATATCTATTTAAGATCTTTGTCTACTTTTTAAAAACTGAATTATTTATAAAAAATGAACCATAAAGATTCAAAGTAGAAAATGCCCAAATGTTGAACTAAAGAATGGGTTAACAAATATAGTATATCCATGCAATGGAATACTTTTCTCTTGGGAAAAAAATGAATGAAATCCTGATACTTGATCCATAAAACTTGAAAATATGCTGAGTGTGGGATTGAGAGTTTAGGTTTAGAGGTAAAGTGGTTGGTCAAGGCTCTCTGGGTTTATTGCCCACCAGCAGGAAAAACAAACAAACAAACAAAACCAACATGCTGATAGAAAAAAACTAGATTTAAAAATCCTGGTGCCACATGTCTGTAATCTCAGAATTTAGGAGTCTGAGTCAGAATGATTGCACAAGTTCTGATGCTAGTCTGAATTACATAGTGGGTGCTAGACTAACCAGGGGTAAGACCTTGTTTTAGAACTAACAACAGCAACAACAAAAACTCCACTGTGCATGTATTGTATAATTCCAGTTATATGTAGCATTCCTAAGAGGCAAATGAGGGACTGGAGAAATGGCTCACTAGTTAAGAACACTGGCTGCTTTTCCAGAGTACCTGGGCTCAATTCCCAGCATCCACATGGTGACATACACAATGGTCTGTAATTCCAGTCCCCAGGGGATCTGATGCCACCTTCTATCTTCTAGAGGCACCAGACAGGTACATGATGTACAGCATACATGCAGACAAAACACTCATATGTGTTAAATGAATAAATAATTTTTAAGGGGGTACACGTGTAGAAAAAGGAAGCAGAATAGTGTCTACATGGGCTAGATTGCTGTATATGGAATGGCATAACAGTTCAGGCCCTTTAAAGCAAGGAAACCATTCTGAAATTGTTGAGGATTGCACAAAATTTTGAATGTTAAAAAGCTACAGAAATACACAATAGTTACAGAAATACACAATTTTAAATGGTTACAGTTGTGACTTTTATGTCCTGTGAATTTTACCTAAAATTTTTAAGTGAGGAGAGGGAAAGAAGGGAAGTTAGTCGTCCTCAGATCTTTCACCTTTTACTGTAGGGCACTAATGAGTTCATGCTCTTTTTAATAGTCTCATTTTTGTAGGTTAAACATGATTGAAGGTAATTCTGCGTATGGTGCTACTAGTCAGGGCTTGATATGTCAGCTGTTTGTAGTTATTTGATAAGGGCAGCTACCTGGAGCCCACTCAGTTTGGGGCAGTAGAAAGTTATAATCTCACTATCAAAGAAGAAGTGAGCCTTTGATCTTATAGGGAACTTAAATGGTTTATCATTTGTGGTGAAAACACTGAAATTCTTTCTCTTGGCCTTTGAAAATACTACCACATCACCAGCTGTATGTACTTATCCTGCTTTTGTGAACTTACACCTAGTTTAATTTCCCCCTGGTTAAGATGAAATAATCAAGGCCTGACATGGTGGCACTCCTCTTGAAGGCAGAAGCAGGTGAATCTTTTGAGTTCAAGTTTAACCTGGTTGACGTGAGTTTAGTTCTAGGTCAGCCATGGCTACATAGTGAGACCCTGTCTAAAAAAATAGTTTAATAAAAAGGTATAGTAATTATCTTAAACAAGTTGAGGGTCCTGGTAGGCATGTTCTATACTGTTCAGGACCGGGACTTGGAATGTAAGAACTTACATAGTTTTATTTGGGTTGTGTATGTTCAGATTGAACTTGTGTTTATTTGGTTTTTAAGAAAGCTACTGAGACAGTTACATTCACAGGGGCAGAGTGGTGTATCCCTGTATTTGTAAAAGGTGAAAAAAATTGTAAGGAAGTTAAGGAATTATGTTAATATTTTGGTATAATTCTGTAATTATAGTTGTTAGTTTTTGTAAGGTAGGTGGGTGAGTAGATAGGTAATAGGTAGATAGGTAGATAGATGAATTTGTAAAAGGATTAACATGTAGGAGTGTTTGCCACCAAGCCTGATGACCTGATGCCAAGGAACCTACAAGGTGGAAAGAGAGATTAGATTTCCTCAAATTGCTCTTTGGTCTCCATACTCACATTGGCTGAAGTGTGTGAGCACACATTAAGTTTTAGATGATTTATAAATGAAGTTAATGTAATTTTAAAGCCAAATGAGGTGTTGTGATTAGGGAGAGTTGTGGATGAAATAAGACTGGCCACATGGTAATAGCTGTTGAAGTCAGATACACAGGCATTTTGCATTATTTTCCTTTTGTGTGTATTTCAGATTTTCCATAGTAATAATTTATTTGTTCAGGGGAAGGAAAGGGAATTACTTTTTAGAAGCAAAGATCTGGTATCAGGATGTTTTGGAAGTAATAAGCTCCTTGTTACAGAAGATATTCAAACATGTGCTGGAAAGCTAGCTCCTTAGATCTGCTTGTATGTTAGTATGCCCTGCACAAAGCTTAGGCCACTCAATTCTGATTTGGGATTAGGGTGAGAGGATGTGGAATTCGAAGGGAAAGACAGCTTTTCAAAACTTCTCCTAAATTCTCCTAATGATATCTAACTTCCTTGAACTCTATTGATGGAAGACTTGAAAGTTTTCTTATGCCTTAAGAGTCTATGAAGCTAGGGGTATGGAAAGACAGATAGCAAACTAGAGCACTCTGGAAATAGTTTCTATAAGGCCACTGAACCCATGATTAAATTGCAAAGTCTTGCCTTTGATGAGGAAAAGAGTATATTTAAGAATGTCTGCCTGTGTGAATCTTTTCCTGCTTGTTTCAAATATCAGTACCTTCCTGTTGTGTGGGTTCCTTCAGAAAGCATCCTGAAGAAATAATGAGAATAAGTAGTTTCCTGAATATAAGGTTTGTCTCTGTGAGCCATCTGGTCTACTGGTTGTCACAAACTTCAGGGATTAACTATTGGAGCTGCTCCTCATTAGCAGGGTTTGTTGTTTCTTTGCCCTGTTGGTGACAAAGATTGATCCTAAGGCCTCACACCTGCTAGACAAGTGTTCTACCACTGAACTGCCTCCCAGCCCTTTTGTATCCCTAACCCTTGTAAAAAAGTTTTTCACTCTCTCTCAGGCGTCAGACTTCTGGCTATCCTCTTTCTTTAGCTTTCCATATGTTGAGATTACTAGCATGAACTATCATACCTGACTTTGGGCAGTGTTATGTTTTAAATTAGTTAAATTGAG